GGCTGAGGCTGTGGAATGTAAAGAGACAGATTATAAAGAGGAAGAAGTTATTACCAAAGGTAGGTATCAAAATGAGCTATCAAGTTGGAGAATGGATTGCCCAGCTTTCTTTCCAGCAACACATATTATGTAAGAGTTGCTGTAGAGACTTTCAAACAAAAACTAAGCTGAGGCAGGTTATGTAAAATGCACTTTGAAAATATATTTTTATTGATTTCAGAGAGGAAGGGAGAGGGAGAGAGATAGAAAAGAGAAACATCAATGGTGGCCGCCCGTCCTCACGTCCGCCCGTCCTCACGTCCGCCCGTCCTCACGTCCATCGCGTTGTAGCAGGTTTCCCCAACGTCTGTCCTCTTCGAGGCTGAGTGACGTTCCACGGTGTGGAGGGGCCACGTCAGGGGACGGCTCCGCATGCAGACCCTGGGTTGTGTCCACGTCCCAGCGGCCGTGGCTGTTGCCCTGTGAACGGGCCGTGCCCATGTCTTTCTCTTTTTTAAAATATATTTGTGTTATTTCAGAGAGCTGGGGAGAGAGAGAAACTTCCATGATGGGAGACTCATGGATCGGCTGCCTCCTGCCGGCCCCCCCTGGGGATCAAGCCCACAACCCGGGCCTGTGCCCCGACCGGGAATCGGCCGCCTGGGTCAGAGGTCGACCTCAATCGCTGAGCCCCGGTGGCGGCGGCGATTTCAGGCCATGGTAGCCCCGAGTCCCGGCCCCGTCTCAGCCCGTGTCCGTGTGTTGCAGGCAACGGGGTGGTTGTTCACTTGCCGGGCCTGTTTGAAGAAGCAGAAAAGAACGCATTTTAATGTAACAATGACTTTTATTTTCCTATAAAATCACCAAAGAGGGGACTCTGATGATGAACATTCATATGTGGCTCCTGGGGGCCCTTGGGGACCGGCGGCCGGTGGGCAGTGCGTCTGGTGAGGGAGCCCCGTGAGGGCATCTAGGGGCAGCCTGACCAGGACGCAGCCACCCTGAGGCCCGAGAGGGTCTGGAAGGAAACAGAGCCTGAGCCTCGGGCTCAAGGTCAGGCCTCAAGGTCAGGGCTCGCGGGAACCTGACCCTGGGCATCGGGCGACAGGAGGTGCCAGAGGGAGGCCTGTGGGGAGACAGGTGCCAGCGGCAGTGGGTGGGGGTCCCCTGGGGGTGCGGTCTGGGACCCCAGCAGGCGGAGACTCAATAGTTGACTCGATGATGTTTAAAACCAGCTTTTGAAGGCTTTGACAGTCTATTCTGTCATCTTTTGGGAGGTCTGATGTGCCTCTCTTGAGGTTTGGGAAATATCTCAATCTCTCACCATCCACAGCCCTTTTAAAGACTTCCAGTTTCTTTTCAAAAGCCTTTATGTAACCAAACATAACATCAAGTGTCTTGCCAA